ACTGTTATTTTAGGCACAGATTCCTAGGACAGTGTAAATCTTCACAGTGGTTATAGACAGGGAAGAATTCTTTCAGTCTCTCTACTTCGTTTCAACTTTGTCTCTGACAGACTTCACTGAAATGATTTAGTTTGAGTGATTAATTAATTATCATGTGTCTTGCCCTGCTTGAAATGACACTCAGGTCTGAGATGACCACAGATAGGACAGTTAGCAATCCCAGGCACCTCTACTTCTCAGCCAGGTACTTACTTTCTCCACCAAGTTCCCTGGAAGAAGGCTCTCTACAAACTGCCGCAGGTTCTCACGAACAACGGCGTTATGGAAGAAGGAGATTTTCCCATTTATGATTCCTAGGATCGAGGGTGTGCTGTGTGCTCCCAGGTGATGGGCCAGGCGCCTCTCATACCCGGCATGGACCACGCCGATTCCTACACCTGAAAAGTACAGAAGACCTCCATGAAGTCTTTTTATGCCCCCGGCAGTTGAAGAAATGGCACTAAGTCATTTTTTGGTGTGAAACTGAAATTTCAACTTGCTAGGAGGGGCTATCTTTTCTAATAGACTGTAACATTCTTTTTCACTGCTGGAATTCTAAATCGGTTCAGCTTTTCTGCAGAGCAATCTGGCAATATTTAAGAAGAGCTACAAATCTTTCTCTCTTTTAATTTGTTGTTTCTAACTTTGGGAGTAGACCATGAGGAAATACTTAGAAAGAAAAGAGAACAGTATGTTTGCAGTGTTCCTGCTCATAAAGAAGGAACACGTAAACAATCCAAGGGTTTAACAACTCAGTAATGGTTTGAAAAAATGATTTATCGATAAAGGTCATAATCTTCTCACTCGCCAGAGCATGTCTCCCTTTCATATAAATTATTTTATAGATATTAGAAAATACAGATTCTCAGAAAGAGTAAGAAATTAAGTTAAAATCACTCAAAAGCCATATCCCATATCACTACTGTTGCTACTTTGGCATCTATGTTTGTACCTTTTTTTATACAAATATGTGTGTGTCTGCGCACACACACACACACACA